ACAGACTGTGCTTACAATGTGCTTGTGCCAACTAATTGTTAAAAACCTTTGAATAAAGCTGGATTTGTTGCCTTAAGAAGTAAGTGAACAGCCCTGTCTAGTCATAAACAATGAAAGGAGAGACACACACTTCTAAACATCTTTCAGAAAGTCAGTTCAAAGACTAATTCATGACCTCTGCTTCCCCCCCAGGGGTGTTTGTGCAATTCATTTTGTGTGTGTGTGTGTGTGTGTGTGTGTGTGTGTGTGTGTGTGTGTGTAAGCCACATACCACAGAGCTTCACGCTGTGTTCAGGCTCTTAAAAGCAGGATAGCGCAGGCTGCTGTCGATGGCATCGCTGGGGAAATTAGTGGCTGATGTCGTTGGCTTATTCTGTCACTGACGTATTGGGGCTAATGGAACATATTGATCTGGCATGACCGCTTTAATTAAATGTAAATGGGTGATGAGCTAGTGGTGTCCATCACAGTGAGGGTGAATCCAGTGAAGAGAGTATGAATGCTGCTTTGTACCCGTTTTATCTCTGAGCTCTCATACTGTATGCGTAAATGAGCTGGGCCACTGCCAGCGCTTCTGTGTGGGTGGCTGTAATTATAATTGATATTATATAATTAAAGTTGTCTTGTGGATGGGAAATTCTTGCAACATGCTGTTGTCTCTTTCTCTCTCATTTTATAACGCCCAAGAGAGTAAAAATACTGGGCCGGACATATTCAATATATTTTTGCATTGTTGTGGCTGGCATTATAAAATTACTTTGCCAACCTAATGGGAAACTAATGTTGAAATGCTGTAATTTAATATAAACACTAAAATTTTACTACAAGTTTTTTTTATTTTTTTTTTTTATATCCTGCATTTATTTGATAAATACAATACAAACTAATTTTGTGAAATAAAAAAAAAATGATTTAAAATAAATGTAAAAAGTATTTTTTAATATATTGTAATGCAATTTATTCCATTGTTTTTTAATAATAATAATAATAGTTGTTGTTGTTTATTATTACTATTATTATTATCTTTTTATAAACAATTATTTTAGCAGATTGAACAGAATCGTTCATTTAAGCAAATGCTCTTAATCATATTATCACAAACTGATTTAACCCAACAATATTCAAAAGTATTAATGCCTCCAAACTGGAAATGTACCTTTATGTTCCCTAAATGTTTGCTGAATGTATCTGTAATCTGATGGTTTTGCGCTCTTAGCAGACAGTAACTGACCACTCAAACTTTGGTCGGCACAAACCATGTTTATCCTTGTATAGTTTAGGTCTTATTTTATTTAACCTGCCATAGTTTTGTTGATGGTTTTTGTGGATGAGGCAATGTCTCGCAACCTCTGCATGTTAAGTAAGATCTGCCTACTGAAAATATATATTAAGTATTATTATTTATTCTTGTCACCACAGATGAAAAAAAATGAAGGCTGAAATAATGTAAATGACAAAACTAATGATGAAATCTACATAGCAGATGCTTCATTAAATGTGCAAATTAAAAAAATTATATATATATTTTTTTGTTGCAGAACATGCCCAGTGTGAAAATCAATGCAGGCTTCTGAAGTTAGTGAGATTTGCGCTGAAGATTTCAAATTGGCAAAAGAGACCTGTTCAAATATACATGAGCGAAATGCTTTACAGCCTCAATTATGCACCAGTTCAGAGAGAACCGAGGCAAAACACATTTCTGCATTTCAATTAGCAAACTCTCTCTGCATGAGGTTGCCAATGCTGATCTGCCAAACAACTGCATTCAAAGACCAAACATCTTCCATACACAAGGGGAGGCTAAACGTGCAAATGAGTTTGAAATTCGTTCGTTATAGTGCACATGTGGTTCAGACTGCTATAAATGCTATTCTTTTTATATTCCTCAATGAATCATGAAACAAATCGCAGTCAAACTTTCCACAAAAATATTAAGCAGCACAAATTATTTCAGCATGAATAAGAAATGTTTCAAATCAGCATATTAGAATGATTTCTGAAGGATCATGTGGAACTGAAGACTGCTGAAAATTCAGCTTTGCATCACAGGAATAAATTACGTTTTAAAATAAATCCAATTTGAAAACTGATATTTAATGTATTTTTTAACAAGTCACAGGTGTTTGGTGACGAGTTTTTGGCTCAAGGTCTGCATTTAAAGTCACACCAGAGGTGTTCAACTGGGATTAGGACTTGGCTTTCTGCAGACCAGTCAAGTTCTTCCACACTGACCGAATTAATCATTTCTTTTTTAACCTTGCCTTATCCATTGTCATGTTAGAATAGAAAAGGGTCCTGTCCAAACTGTTGCTATAAAATTAGATGCACACAATCCCTTAGAATATCATTATATGCTTGCTTAAACATTAAGGTTTGTACTCATGGAAATGACTAAAGTAGTCAAACTTGTTTATCAGAAGGGGGTGTCCTAATACTTTTGCCAATATAGAGAGAGAGTGTGTGTGTGTGTGTGTGTGTGTGTGTGTGTGTTGAAATTTAACCTGGACTTCCCTGGACTGACTGGCTTCTTAAAATGTTCATGTCGTATTATATTCCTGAACCTTGTGAAGGTCTTTTTCTTTGGTGTGTAAGTAGCAGCCAGTGGCTGTTATTTGAGCCCAGTCCTCAGGGCTAGCAGATGGCCTGAAAGGCAAAATGAGTGGCAGGAGAGACTAGGCTCAACATTCTTGCCTGGCAGTGGATTTACCTTCCATTCACCCAGGGTGCTCTGTCTCCTAGCGCCTGTGCCCTTGTCTGTCTGTCTTTGGGGGCCTCCTCACCCCTCCCACAATCCACTGGGCTGTCAGCCACAGTACCAGATTAGAAGCTTGAAAGGAAATCACAGAGAGTCTTGTCATGATCTCCTATATAAGAGGACAAAATTATTAAATGTTGGATATTTCATGTATGTGCCACTGCCACAGTAAGTGGTCAGTTTTTGATGAATCCAAATTGAAATATTCACACTGCTCCATCTCATTCCAAACCGAGCAGTAAACACTCTTGCTGCAGTGCACCAATGTATCCGTCAGATGTGCTAATAGCTTCTCACAGGCTTAAGAGTAAACATGAACTCTGATAAAAACGTTGCAAAGAGGTGCCTCAAGGAATCATTATGAAATGCCAGCCTCCGTTTCCAGACGACTGCACAATTTCCTGGACTGGGTGCCCTCTCCTATTTTAGGGAATAAAGCGGATGTTTAAAAAACAGCCATAATAAATCTGCGCCTCTGGCATTGCCCTTGGCATAGCCGTCCTATAAAAGAGGCTCAATGCATGCTTACCAATAATCATATTTGATTTTTTTTTTTTCACACAGCTTCATTTTGATCAGAACAAATGACATGTGTAGGGTCAACGGTATTATAAATTGCACTTTTTTTAAATGGAGATATTGTCAAATGACTATTTTGGTTTGCGTCAAAAAAAGAAAAATCAGTTTTCAACTTATTGGCTACATATTTTTTCAAGTGTGCTCGCTATTAACATAAAATTGTTGATCAACATCCAGTATCCATGAATTTTCTTTCATCTGTTCCTATGTCCTTAAGAAACAAAATCCTAACTAAAATATTATTTCAATATGAACAAATTCCCCAATGCAACCACCAATCTAACACATAAATTCTATCTGTAGGAGCAGGAAACCTCATGCAATGGGATAACATTTCTAATTTAAGAGGCATTTAAAAAAATCCATGTGGATTTAGCTTGAGCATTATACGATTTGGCTAATAGCATAAAGCTTGTTCCTGTTACGTCAAAAAACCTTGGATGTTTTGTGGAGGAGTTTTCAGAGAGGAGTCCAGGCACTTTTTTTTAAACCTCCAGGGTGCTTATGAAACCAGTCTGCAAGCATCAAAAATCATTTATTCAAACCCTTCAACTGACTGAATGAGCAACAAACACATCTACCGGTATTAGGCACCAGGAATTCAGTTCACAAGGATGCCTGTGGGATCTGCTGCATAATCCCAGAAAGTCCCCTTCAAATGGAAATGTTTAGCAGCGAGTCATTTACTACAGAAGATAAACTCCCCCCAAAACACAATTCAAATTCATATCCCTTTTCAAGAGCTTTAAGACTGTAAGTGAGTAAGAAAACCAACCTTTAACAATAATGGTTGAAACGATACTAATTACGCTCAATCAATTAGGGATAAAAAATGACTTGTTCTTCCTTTTCTTTAAAGGGTTCGATTACCCAAAAATGAAAATTGTCATTAAATACTCACCCTCATGTGGTTCCAAACCCGTAAGACCTTTGTTCATCTTTGGATCGCGAAGACATTTTTGATGAAATTTGAGAGCTTTTTGACCCTGCAACTGCCACGTTCAAGACCCAGAAAGGTAGTAAGGACATTGTTAAAGTCCATGTGACATCAGTGGTTCAACTATAATTTTATGAAGCTACGAGAATACTTTTTGTGTGCAAAGAAAATAAAAATAATGACTTTATTCAACTATTTCTTCTTACTTGTGTCAGTCTTCACCGCGCATTCAGAACAGTACCACAATGCATATGTGTGCATTCTTCTGCTTGTAAACAAGCTGCAGCGCATCTGGGTTCTACATCAGAATGCCGGCTCCTGCTTCAGCAGCACCACACGCATGCGTCGTGACAGGGAAGAGAAGAAATCGTTGAATTAAGTCATTATTTTTTTTCTTTTCTTGTAGCTTCATAAAATTACGGTTGACCATTGATGTCACATGGACTATTTTAATGATGTTCGTACTACCTTTCTGGGCCTTGAACGTGTCAGTTGCGTTGCTGTCTATGCAGGGTCAGAAAGCTCGGATTTCATAAAAAATATCTTAATTTGTGTTCTGAAGATGAACGAATGTCTTATGGGTTAACAGGCAAAAATGGATGTTACGGTTAGGCATTTAAAATGGGGACTAGGTAAATGGATATAGAAGCAGAAATATGTGAGCATATTTTATCAAAGCACATTTAATTTTTGTTGTTAAAATGTGTATTATTTAAACTATAAAGCGGTTTAAAATTTTAGTTTTTTTTTTTTTTAGGGCTTTGCAAATTTAAACGAAGTTATTTACACTAAAATCATGTTAACATGCATATTTACGTCTTGTGACTGTACTATAGAAGCAGTGAGAATTTTAGTGTTTACAAAATGGCCCCATTGTAAATACCTCACTGGAACCCAGATTTGTTTTGCATTTTCTTTTACAGAAAGAGGAAATAGTTGAAATTCAAAAACATTATGCCACAAAGGCTGTCGACAGAGCTTAACTTGTATTAAACCCAGAAAATTCCTTTTTAAGATTATCCAGCATTCAATTACAAAGGAAAATGGTAACCAACATCAACACCCTCATCATCCATAAGGTACTCATCATGTGCAATTTTTCCATTACTGCTTTGTTTAGTCACAAACACATAAATTAAATGCATTTATCAAATGTTTCAACCTTCAAGAAATCTTAAAACGAGAGGAAGTCCTTGATAATACATTGTGCTGTAGAATCTATACAAGTTCCAGGTTAAAATCCATTTCACAGAAGTACCATTTTACATTTTACATCCTGCTTGAGTAAACTTGAACTTTCCCATGGGGATGTTCTGCATTTCTATAGATATTTCAGATGTTTTGTTTTAAATGCAGTGTCCGTAAGGCGTTTTGGACTTAACATGAACATGCTGTACTGCCAATCAAAGTGAAGAAGATATTTTCACGAAGTCATGCTTTAGTTGTCATTTATCATAGTTCACTGGAATGTTCTTGACCTCGATGGATTGCAAAAGATTTTCCAAAGAGTAGGTATTGGCGTAAGACTGTATTGTGTCCTTGTGCCTCTGATTTGGCAATGAACAAGCATGGCATGAGTTAGCGTTGTGATGTAGGGAGAAGGCCTTTGTGGCCTCTCTTCTGGAGATTTTTCAGCTCTTCTCTGTGGCTCCTCTCAGCAGTGGATAGATGGTTTGTTTTCGAGAGTGGCCGTGACCGACCGCAGCCACACCACACCCACCCAGCAGAGGAGCTTCAGGCCAGACAATGACAATCCAGCCCTGCTGTCGTCCATTCAGTGTGGCTAGAAGACCAGGGCACCTGCAATGAGAGACGGCACAGTATAAAACCAGATTTCAGAGCTCAAAGTCAAACGCTGTAATTTGAATCCAGCCAATGCACTCCAACTTCATGCAAATGTAAGAGGCCATTTAAATTGACTGGGAGAAATGTCAGGGATGAAAGAATGGCACATTTCTGGTGCCTCTCTACCTTACCATCACCATATTGGGCTTAGTCAGTCCAAGCAAAAAAGTTTGAGTAATGGAAACTAAAGCATAGTTTGAGTCACAAACAATGCATGTGTGAAGAATGTAGTCTGATTCACTAATTTCTCTGAGTGGTTCTTTTTAGTAAATCAAAAAAATACAGCGTAACCAAAGTAAACTGATTCTTTAGATGACACCTATGAACTGTATGGGTGTCGAAATTAATCGTATCTACGATGCATCGCGATGCAGATGAGGATGATTCTGTATCGGTTCAGTAATGGACCATTACCGATTATAACATACTGACGCTTTTCTGATGTCATTTGTCACATACGTGCTTTGTCACGGTAGCATACAATGGCAGAGGGAGGCAAGACGCGAGTGAGAGCAATTAAAAATGCTCCAACTACTTTAAAAGCCGACATCTGGGCACATTTTGGCTTTTATGAACAACCTGGTAAGCACGACCTGGAGAAGACACATGCTGTGTGTAAATCATGTCACACACAAATAAAATATGCAGGGGGTAATACCACTACCTTGAGAAACCACATCAGCCGTTTTCACTCTGAGCTGTTAAAGGGTTAGTTCACCCAAAAATGAAAATTAGCCCATAAATTACTCACCCTCAAGTCATCCTAGGTGTATATTAGGGCTGTGCGATTTGGGGGAAAATATCAAATTGCGATTTTTTTGACAGATATTGCGATTTGATTTGCGATTTTAAATTTGCAAAGTCAAGCTTCAGCTCAGTATGGTCAATAATGTGCAGCACAGTATGGGTATCATTACCCTGCTGAAAAAAAAACAATAGAAACTATCACAGAAATTCTTATAGTTTCCATTAAACCATTACAAAATTCCTTTTTGTTTTGGGCATTATTCCATGGGCGCATTTTAATCAAGTGCTTTTGGACTGATGCATGCAACACCCGGTGAGTGCCATGAAACATTTTTAATATAAAAGACAATATAACTTTTTAATATAACTCGGACTGGATTCGTCTGAAAGAAGAAAGTCATATACACCTAGGATGACTTGAGGGTGAGTAATTTATGGGCTAATTTTCATTTTTGGGTGAACTAACCCTTTAATGCCTGTCAGTGCCAAGGTGGCCCCAGCTCAGCCAAAAATAGATCAAGTGATATCAACATTGCCGCCCAACTCGGAGAAAGGGCAGAGAATTACCAGAGCAGTGGCAGCTTTATTGCAAAGGATATACGCCCCTTTCCTGTGGTGGAAAACCCCGGGTTTCTCCACCTGTTGAATACACTGGAGCCCCCACACGCAGCCACTTTTCAGAAAAGATTATGCCGGAACTCTACCACGAAACCAAAGCCCAAATAATGGCATCAATGAGCCAAGCTCATCGAGTTGCAATAACATGTGATTCCTGGACTTCGGTCGAGACAGAGTCATATGTGACAATAACGGCACATTACATTAGCGAGGACTGTAAGATTTTGTCACATGTGCTGCAAACGAGAGTCGTTTATGAGTCTCACACGGGTGCTCATCTGGCAGAGCTACTGTCTCATGTCGTGGAGGAATGGCAGCTATCGGATAAAGATTGTGCTTGTGACAGATAATGCATCGAACATGATCGCTGCAGCTCAATTCGTAACATTCCCTCATGTAAAATGCTTTGCACATATGCTGAATCTCGCATCCCAGCGTGCTTAAAGTGGCCGCCCTCTCCAGGCTTTTGGGCAGAATCCGACAAATATCAACATTCTTCCATCGCAGCACCACAGCGAGCCACTGTCTGAAAGTGAAACGGCAATGTCTTGGCCTGAGAAATCATAAGCTGGTAACTGATGTTGCAACAAGGTGGAACAGCGCATACGACATGGTCGAGATGTTCTTGGAACAACAACCTGCAATTTGTGCCACCTTGCTGTCACCAGAAGTCAGAAAAGGAGAGACAGATTTGTGCACTCCTACTGAAACAGATGTGACAAATGCAAAGGATGCTGTGAGGGCATTAAAACCAATGAAGGATGCAACAACACTGATGTCAGAAGAGCGCAATCTGACAGTGTCTCTCGTTGCTCCTCTAAATGCGCAACTCCTCCAGAATATGTCAGACACCATCGGAGACTCACATGATCCATGCGATGAAGAATGCAATCAGAACAGATCTCCTGAAGAGGTACAACAGTGAGTCAGAGAAGAGGATTCTTCATACAGCCTCTGCCCTGGATCCCCGATTTAAGGGAATGCCTTTTCTCACAGAAGAGGAGAGATTGGAGGTATACAGAGCACTGGCAGAGGAGGCTGCATCCTTGGAGGTAATTCTATCATGTTTCTTGTACAATATATAAAATTAAAACAAACTTAAACAATCATAATATTAATAGTAGCTAAAATGATTTAAAATGTTAAGTAATTATATTTTTTATTAAAACTGAAAAACGGTTATAATCCTAATATATGAGCTGTTGTATTGACTGAGTGCACGGTCACTGTCTACTAGTTTAATTGTATTTTCAATTATGTCGTTCAAACACAGAATGAGTGTACACCTAGAAGGACAGGTGTGGATGAAGCACCTGAGGGAACAGGAACTCCAGGAGAAGAAACATCCATGGAGGACAGCCCCTCTGCTGCTCCCAAACGAAAGGCCTCAACGCTGCTTGTGAGACTGCTGGGGTCTTTCACTGACACTGAAGGTACAGTAGAACCCAAGACCCCCTATGTCATTGCTAAGGAGGAAATGGAGGCATACTGTAAAGCTCCATCTCTGCCTCTCACCGAGGGCCCTTTGAACTGGTGGCATGTCTATGAGGTCACGTTTCCTCTCCTCTCTCGGCTGTCAAAGTAATACTTGTGTATCCCAGGCACATCTCAGCAGGAGATGTGGTCACTGCTAAAAGAAGCACTCTTAAACCAGAGCATGTGGACCAGTTAGTGTTCTTAAAGAAAAACCTATAAATTCCCAAATGCTGAGTAGTGAATAATGCTGAGCAGTTTGTGATGTTTCAGGAAGTTCCCTGTTTCCAGTGGTGTTATTTTATATTTATTTGCTTTTATTTTGTGTATTAAAACACTGCTGAAGTGCAAATTTATTTTTTTGAAGATTGACTGACTATATTCACAAGTAGGTGTGGCCTTTTGTTTATTTTGGTGTATAATTTAATTTAATGTTTATACATTTTTTTATATATTTAAATGTTTTACAAGAAAGTACACTGCACTATATAAGTACTAAAGTACACTCCTTGCATTATGCACTTTTAGTATTTACTTTTGTGTATTTGTTCTAAATGCTCCTGTTGTCTTCTGTGTCCAAACTTGAGTTTTGTTTGTTTGATACATTCAAGAAGCGTGTTTTCTTTGAGCAGGTAAAATTAAAGGTTCAGTTCATATATCTGACTGCTTGCATTTATTGACAAAATTGTATACATGTGAAGTAAAACTGAAAATTGAGGATGCAGTGCATTGTGATATCGAATTGAACCGAATCGATGACATGGTAATCGCAATCGAACCAAACCGTGAGACCAGTGTAGGTTCACACCCCTAATGAACTGGGTCTTATACTGAATATGGACATAAGCTGTTATAACTGAAATATATTTAAATGAATCAATCAGACTGGAATAAAATCAAGATCTTGTGATTAAGAATCAAATCTGTATCGATACCCAGCCATTTGTATTAGCTGCTGTATTGCAATAAGAACAAATGTGTGATTGTTCTGAATGCACCAAAAACTGTTTTAAAATCAAACAGAGAAAATTAGACCAATTATAAAACCAGAACTGACTTGGATGAAGTAGCGGAATCAATTCCGAGCATCTTTTAACCTCGTCTGTTGTTGTGTCCGTGGAGAGCGGATGGGATTTGTAATCTCAAAGCACTTAAAATGAGCCTTCCCCCTAACGCCCTCTCAACATCCCAATGCTTACAGAGGATTTAAAATCAATCGCTTACATCAGCTTCACATCCCACCAGTGAAACTTGCCTCTAATTCAATTCTCATCACCTCCACCACATTGTAATTTAATGCTAATGCCTCCCCCTTAAAGGGCGTAAGTGTGTTAAGCCACAACAATGAAATCATTTCAGCGTCTACATCGACAAGGCCATTGACGTATCCATCAAAACTGACTGCCGCTTTTTATAAACCAAAAACGAAGTAAATATTTTGCAGATCCCAGCCGTGGGTTTCACCTTAAATGCGTCCATCTGCTTTATGATTCATTAAGTGTGAGATTCTAATCTGGCAGAATAGCTGCCACATGCACTTGAAGGGAACACAGAGATGACATTGGTTTTAAAATACTTTTCACATATAGAGGATAAAACTGTCTGCTGAATTTCATAGAAATGATATGCTTATGATGTGTTGGCTTAGGTGAAAAGCTCAAGGTAAACCCCTGAATGGAGGGAATAATTGAGTAGTGAGAAAGTATTGAGAAATATTGTACATTAAGATACATTAAAAGTCTAAACAATTCTTGATTTAAAAAACTAAAAATCTCATTAACAACCCATTTGGAATTAAATTTACTCTTTATTTCCTCTCTCTCTCTCTCTCGCATCAGAATCGAGTGATGGAAACGCTGAATTTCAAATAAAAATGCCTTAATTCGCAAAAAAGTTTTTACGCTCACTTGAGGTGGTTTTTGACTTGTGCGAAAAAGGGTTAATGGGAGATGGAGATGCATTTTGCGAATAAATTCCTTCAAGCGCATCAAAAAAGTCATGTGACTTTGCGCTATGCTATTATTCACAGCATCTGAAATGTTATGGTCATTCGGAATTGCCCGAGCAAAGTCTGTCATCAAAGTATTTCTTTATAATTGCCTCCCAGAACTGTTAAA